AGATGAAATAATATATGTGATGGCATTAATGAAAGTAAATGGCCATACAAATAGCATAATAAATATCAATATGATGGTAATGGTAACATTCAAAATATAGGAAGACGTCTCAGTGTTCTTGCTTATTTTCTAGGCTGGACTAGTAATAAACAAGCAGAAAGCACTCTTTTTTTGGTAAGTGGTGGACCCATTTCTAGCTGACTGGGCTGTTTTCTGTCTTCCCTGGATAGGAGAAACAGCCTCAAGCTGCATCCAGGTGTGAAAGGGGCTACTCTGTCTGGGAAAATGCTGGTCCAGTAGGGAAGACTCAAATATAAGAGACAGTCGTTTTTCATGAAGAGTTTGCTTTTTCCCTTTCCCAGAGAATTGAGTAAATTTCCATGTTGTTCACGACATGGTTTCATAGTAGTTCTTTGGAACCTTAATCCCCAGTCATGAAACATCACAATGGAAGAAATTAGGCCTGGAGCAGATCAAATACTGGGTGAAAATGGTCCAGGGAAGTGGGCACAAAGACTAGGATGAAAAATATAATTTAGCCAAACCTCATTTGCTAGTCTGGACTGCTTCTGTGTGGCTTGGGAGATGAAACATGCCTTAGAGGAGCTAGAGTTCATCTCACTCTCCTTGAATGTAGTTATATGTTTAGCAAACTGAGCATCCTACTGTATAGATGTTCTAAATGATGCAGGGACATAAAACTGTGAGGGGCGCTGAGCATCGGAGAACTGTGTCAAGTTCCTCCCCAAGTGGCCATCACCAGGTGTACTTAAGAACAGGTTGGCAACAATAGCCACAGCAGGATGCTACTGATAGGCTTTGTAGAAGTGGGGTAACGAGCAGTAGCTAAAAGGCGTTGGGACAGCTGTTAGTAGGCACTGGGCTGCAGTTGGCATGGTGCTGCACTTTAAATACTAGTCCAGGATTCTTTATTTTCTACAGAACACATTAGGATCTTAGGGCTATAACTGGAGTCCTTTTATTAAAAGTTGACCAGAAAGAAATGATTTTCCATCTGTTTCTCTCTCTGCTTCTTTGCCCCTATCTTTTAAATTTCTCTTCATTTGAACAGTGAGGCATAGGCCTTCAATTAGTTTGAACATTCTCCAACTTTTAGTCTCCCAACAGGATTAGACCTGCTAAGAGTAACTAGTGTTTTCCATCTGATAAATAAGGGGATTACAGCAATAACTGCTGTCAGCATTTTTCTCATTTAAACAAATAAAGCTGACAAATGATGAAGTCCTGTGTGCTCTGTTATGCTTAGTACATGCAGGGCAATTACTCATCGGCTGCCAACATTAGTCTATCTACAACTAAACCATCCAGCAGCCCAGAGAGCTTATTAGCATATGAGTCTCATAGTCATATTTTTATATTCCATAAGACTCCACTCCATAACAAAGGCTGATGGTTATAATTTGCACAATAATTTAAAGGGTTGGACTTTTCCAGGCTTATTAGTTATACAAGTTATCAGGTGTAATGCTACTCATATTTATGAGATGCCACCTTCTATTGCCTAGCATGTTTGCTCCCCTGTAGCACTTCCTGTGAACAAGTTAGCTGTCATCTCTTGAAAGGTACAAAGAGACGGTTGTCTCTATAATGTCGTTGCATGCAATTCCAGGGGAAATAGGCTGCAAGGAGGTTTAAATGGAACTGCCTTCCATGGATGCTTGTCATATGTATGCATATATGTATGTGTGTGTTTATATTGGACATAACTATACAGAGTAAAGATTTGAGAGTTAATATACTATTTGAAAAATGTTTTTAATCTTAATAGTTACTTCTTATGGTATAGTTTATTAGGTTTCTCCTAAAAGGGATGGTTGTAAGACTGAAGACCTCACACTGGAAGAAGGCCTAATCCAAAAAGAAATTATATTTTTAGGGAGGTTGTTATGTGACACGTGGCCTTTAAAATAAGCCTGTCACCCTGATTTTCCTGAAGGGAAATGTACTCTATGTGAAAATAGGTGGTTTATATTCATTTTGCTTCTCCAACCGCAAGAGAAACCTCTGCAAAAGACTGGCAACCAAATCATCCTAATGTTGAAATTGTTACTTCTTTCAGTGGCAGTTAGTCTGAATGAGTAATTGCAAAATTTTCTCACAATAAGTGGGGTAAAATCAGTAATGACCTTCATTGTGAAGGTGAAGGCCCACTGCTTCTGCATTCTAAAACAAGGGTACAACTGTCCATGCGGAATAGCCTTGATTCCTAGTTTCTACATCAATGCTCTTGAGATCTTATTGCCTACTCTGCAGGACTGTCTTATTGAGGACTAATTCCTAGAGAGAGCAGAGAATTGGCCTGTGGATGTGTCTTGCATGTGCAAAACAACTGGTTCACAGCCCATACCTCCAACCCCTTCTGCAGAACTCTCAGATTCTGAGTGAGTATTCTCCAGGACCTGGTACCAGAATCTGAGGAATACTCATTAGGTTCCATAGCCTGCTAGAATCATTCAAACTAGTCAGTTTAAACCCTGCTTATCCAGCCTCTCCTATCCCTTTCCGTGGTGAGCACATTAAAGATTCATACCCACATCCTTCTGCTTCCTGTTGGACCCTGTTGCTTCCCACTGAGGCCCTATGTGGCGTGCTATGCCTTCTGTTTCTATGGATTTGTGAACGTAACCACCTTCCCCACTTAATGCTTGTTGGACCCATACTTCATTAAAATAGATCTAAGGAGTCCCTAAAATACCATGGCTCTAAATTAAAGCATAGCTATTTTGGAGATTTGGAAACTCCCTGTTTAATAAACGTGATGATCCTGAACCATTTTGAGGTGATGCTTGTCTTCATTTTGAATCGCTTTGCTATTCTTCAGCAGTAAAGACAGTGGCAAAAATAGAATTGTTCTCCATTAGTGTGAACCCATTTGTGACCTTTCAAGCTTATTGAATGTTTCTTAGGTGGCCCTGACTTCCAAATGGTAAAAACAGCCTATATTAGCAGACTTATCAGGCCTGTGACTGGGGAGCTCCGGGACATGCAACTTCCTTACCTCCTGGTGTGGACTTGCTGTTCACCCTGTTCCTTTCAATATTCAAAATTGATCATCCTCCATTTGCCTCAAATCAAAGAGAAAAATATAAAACAAGCCCTATTCCCTCCAGCCTCGCCCTGTATGTTTTGTTGTTGATTAAGCCTTACTTTCTAATCCCCAGGCTGGGCCTTTCTTTCCTGTTTGCTTTCTGTGTGAACAAACCATTTTTTTTCTGTCTTACTTTACCCCACCTTCCTGTGATACGCTTCTTTTTTCTTTACCTGCCAACTCCGCCCTCTCTTTGCCCTTGTCCTCCCACTCACACTAGTTTTATTTAAGTGCAAAAGACCAAAAAAAAAAAAAAAAAAAGCAGCAACAATAATATGAACAATAAAAACCCTCCATGGCTTCTTTCCTGCTTGATGTAGGAGACAGTTTTCAACACTCATACATTCCTGTACTTTCCACAAATAGTGGGAATGTGAATTATCAACTGTCATCAAGATGCTTTTTTGTATGTGGTTCCTTCTACAAATTTAGGAAGCATAGCTCCAATTGTGCATGTGATTTAGGAGGCCATAAAATTATCTCATCGCACCCTATAAATAACACGTTATTGATTGGCTCGGAGGAAATATTTCCTCAATCTGACAAATCCTGCACCTCCATTACTGTTCTTGAAATGCTGCCACTACCCATGATATAATCAACTTCTACCTCCAGCACCAAGAGCCTCCGGCTCATTTAGATTATGTGCCCTGAAGTTCTATTGCACTTAAATGCAAAAGCGGAGTTATACATTTAATTTTACTGTAAACGTTCCAGATGTTGGTCTTATTTCCATAATTAATTATAAGTGCCTAAAATACTGAGACAGAAATGAATTGAGAAGTCCTGTGTGTTGAACTAGTTTTGGTGTAAGACAGATCTGAGTTCAGGATCCTGGCTCCCCCACTAAGGACTGTGTGATTGTGGACAAATTACCTTGCCTCTCTAAAGCCTTAGTTCTCTCCTCTGCAGAGTTGGAGTTGCAGTGGCATCCACTGCATCAGTCTGTTGTGGAAAGGTAATAAGCGACTAGGTTAAAGACTTAGCGTGATGTGGGCACTTAAGTGGAATTCAGTAAGCATCGTTCCTCTTGTTCCCATGCTGCCTCTCTCAGCAAATGTATATTGGATGGGGAAAGTGCATTGACTGTTATGTGCTACCCAGCTTGTGATACTTGAACTGAAATGGCTAGTGAGAGGTTTCCCTCTCATCCTTGACACTCTGTGCAAAGCGACTATTCAGAGTTTTGGAAGAAATTCACACTCCCTAGTAAGTATACAGGGCACTTTGTCTAACCATCCAGAGCATGAGTGATGAGGAAGGAGGATAACGTGTTAAAAGGTCAACATCTTAGCTTCTGTCCCATTTTGCAGATGTAGCCTTAGATGCTCTCTCTATAAAAGTACTTTTTATTTACCTCTTTCTGCCATTGCTACCGAGGCCCTCTTGGATTTGCCTTTTTAGGTCTCCTGAACAAACTTAATTCAGTGAGCCTGCAGCAGTTTTGTTTTCTGAGCCTTTGCCCATCCTTGAATGCTCACATATTTGCTTTCTCCCTCTATCTTCCAGAGGTAGGGCATTAAAGCCACCTGCAACTCTGTCTCCAAGGTTGGTATGTTGAGGCGTCTTTAGAATCCCAGCATTAATTTGGTGCCTCATTCCTTGTAGTCAGTCTTACTTGGGGAAGGCAAAGAAAAAACACCATGTCAAGATATTATGAGAACTATTGTCTTAACGCTGCCTTGGTTGGTAATACCTTACACTTGTTCTTTCCAGCCTCCTCAGCTGTTGGGATTTAATTAGCAGCAATATATTATTGTCAAAGTAATTAAAATATTGCCTTGATTAAAAACAGAATTGTTTAATTAACACGAAAAGGTTTGGCTAGCCTTAACTCTCTGTCTGAGACATGCAACGGCCTCAGAGGACTTGCTCTCTCTTTTCCTCTCAGGCTTGAAGGTTCGGGAGGTGTTTATCAACGTCACCAGGCAGCAGGTGGAGGACTTCCATGGGCCAGAGGACTACTGGTGCCAGTGTGTGGCGTGGAGCCACCTGGGGACCTCCAAGAGCAGGAAGGCTTCCGTGCGCATAGCCTGTGAGTACATTCCGGGTGACCTTGTCCTGTAGGAACACAGACAAGATTTACAGAGAGCTGGACAGGGGCTATGGACACACCAGATGGCTTCTGCAGAATGTTGATTTAGAGGACAGCAAGAAATCACTAGAGCTGGCTCTACCTCTACTAAATTTATTCTTTTAAAATTGTATTTTAAATGTTTGATAATTTCCTCTGGAGTACAATCAGCAAATCAGTTTAGAGAAGAGATTCTGCCTAGATTGTGAGAGTGCAGGTGTCTCAACAATGCCAAGAAAAACTGCTCCTGAGAGGAAGAAACCACACAAATGGATCCTGCTGTTCATCATCAATGACAGAGTTCAAGGGGCATTGATGGGAAAAGTTGAGCAATGACTGTTTACTGCACTTTCCAGCAAATCTGCAAAAATAAGACATTAAAGGCATTAAGGGGTTTTTATAGGCTACCTTTTAAAACTCTTTCCTCCAAACCTTAAAACATGGAAATGGGTTTTAAAGCTGCATTTGTTTGACCCATGTAAGACACTGAAAAAAAAAAAATATATATATATATATACACACTTGAAAAGGGGAAAAAAAAAAAGATTGCTTTTCAGATGAGTCCAAGGATTTCTTTATCATATTTTGCCTTCAATTTTTTTTTTATAATCTCAAGCGTGTTTATAAACACAAAAACTTCTCTCTCCTTTAAATGTCTTCTTCCCAATCCCCTCCCCTGAGCCTACCCCAAAGGGTCACTATAAAACCTTTGTGTGTCCAGGAATGTATAAACCCCTTCAGAAGGAAATTGAGAGCTGGAGGGCAGAGATGGTTATTGTTGTTTTATTCAAATGCTGCCTTTTGAGAGTGCCATAAAGAATACGGGACAAGAGGGATTTATTTGAGGACTGCAGGAATTCTTCATAGCAGATGTCGATGGGTTAGGGATTAGGAATAGGAGCGAATTGCTATCTGCAGGGACATTTATGTTTCTTAGGAAATGAAATCTTCCTTTCAAAATATGCATCTCACCTTCACGATACTGGGGATCTGGGAGGTCTTTTCCTGGGTGTTACCAGGCCTAGTAGGCCAAGGAGAAGAGGCCAGATGATATGGTGTGTTTTTGATGTAAGAGCCATGGGAACCATTTTTCCTACAGCTATTGAGTTAGTTAATTGTAGCCAACAAATTATTTGTCTTTATAGCACCAAGTCACTTGAGAGAGCGATTTGTTTGTCTTTATTCTCCCTTAACACATCCAGCTCTGTTCTTCCTGCATGTCTCGGACAGGCTGGCCTCCTGGGTATTTGAACCTCTGAGTTAGGCCAAAGCTGATTGTTCTCTCTGCTGTAGCTAAAGAAAAGACAAGCAAGACAGCAAGGACATTCAAAACATGTCCTTCAATTTCTTTCTTCTCAAGGTGGCTTTTCCTTTTCCTCTACTTCCTTTACTTTTCTGAAACTGCATGTAAACAGCATTTTCCTGGTCTGTTCACCTAAGTCTCAGCAACCGCCATACTTCTCTCATAATTACTGATTATCACTTGCCTGATAGAAAATCCTAGGGTTTTCTCCTTGCATGCAACATTTGGCAAAGAGTGGTTCAAACTACCCATCCTTTTTAGTTTTCTATGATCACTGGTCATGCCCACTTCTTTTCTCTCCCTTCTAAGCACTTCTGTGCCACTCCCCTCTGGTTTCTCTGCCTTGGCTTCACACATATGTCCCCTGACACCTGTTGGCTTTCCGTCCTACTCCTGTTTAGTTTAGTGATGTGTCTGTTTGTTAATGACTTTGGTGAGAAGAGGATCTACTTCATAGAACTATTGCAAGAAGTAGAGATATTGATAACTTGGGCATTGATAGTCTTTAAAAAGTGTAAATGGCACAGAGTTAACTCTCATCAATCATGAGCTATCACCTTATGCCACATTTGATGCCCCACAGAACCAGCATCATTTACCAAGTGTGTTCGTACCTGTTGGACCTAACTGAGCTGAACTAAAACTGTAATGCCTTAATTATTTTTCTGTAGATTCTAGAGCTCTTTAGAAATCCATTCCAGGCTAGTCTGAATTCTCTAACTCCTCCAGTCACAATAGGATCAAAAAAAGTTAAAGATGAAAAAATATTTCTCTTCCTACCTTAATAGAGTCATAAAATACTTTTGTGGTAACTATCTTACTGATATCTTCAGAGATAAAAATAATTTTGTCATTTCTGTATAGATTATGCATATATGAATAGTATAAATGCATAATTTTTAAGAAAACCCCATGATAGCATTAAATCCTATATTGTGTAATGAATATAATCTCTGCTAATATTTATAAAATATTTTAAATTTCTTCCTACGTAGCAAATGATAATGCATATTTTAATTCATTTAAAATTATTTGTGTACATCAAGACACAATTTGCCATTAAATATTACATTTGACTTGGGGACCAGTGTACATTAAAATGTAAATTGGAATTTAACTATGTTTAATGGCATTGAAAATGGGGGGAAGATTGCCTTTAGGACCTTGTGTGGAATTCTTTTGATTTGCTTGTAGCGGCCCTTTCCCCCGCCTTTTTTAAAAATAACTTTCATGTTTTGTTGAAATAAGAGATTTCTGGCTGCTATTTGCAAATGCTTCCCAGCAAATAACACATTTCACATGAGGATAGTCTTTTATTCCCAATAAATGGAAACCCAAATTGGATATAATTGTCGCCATGTTTCTTCATTTTAAGACTGGTTTTGGAAGAACTCAAGACATCTTAATGTGCTAAATAAGAATTTTGATAGATGAATGTAGTTTATGAATCTGATGACAATTGTCTTGAGGGGATTTTGCAAAATTAGTATCATTTATATATTAGTCATAACATTATTGTAATTCAACATCATAGCTCCTTATGATTCCTCCATTTAAGCAATGGTCCATTAAGATTTCAAATATTTCAAAGCTGCATTAGACAAAACCTTTCTGGCAGCTGGGCCATTCAGCTGAAGGGGAGATAGTGATTGGTACCCTGCTATCATCAGATTAGCTGATCTCTACAAAAACACCAGAAAAATTGGCTGGCATGATATCATTTAGAGATACTCCATTTTAAAGGGAAACAATATAAATATAATTATTTAATTATTGATGAACTCCATATTTTCATGGAAATAGACCCATTTAGAATGGTAGTTAAATATGTGGGTTTCCTGGGTTCTGTCAAAGCTTGTTAGATCAGAGCTTGGAAGATACCTAGGGAAGTAATGTTTGTGTGAAGTTATCTGGGTATTTTTACAATCAGAGAACTTTGGAGTATCTTGCTCAGAAACAATGTTTTTTTAAGATTAATCTGCCTGTAAATCAACTGAGATCCTATTTAAATGCAGGTTATTCAATTAAAGTAATTTATTAGACCAATCCATGATCTGAAATTCTATATACCCACTATATATGGTTCCTAGATAATGGTGTTGTTTCCATTGGCCTGTGGACCATACCTTTAATAACAAGACCCTAGGTATAAATTTTATGAAGCACTAGTTGAGATATGTTGACTTAACCCATTCATCCACACTCATCACCTAACAGGTTAATAAGGTGATATTCAGAAAAAATTATGTGACCTGGCTGGTGGTAAATAGGGAACCAGACTTAAATCCTTTTATCTCTTCCCTCAGTGTTCTTGCTGCTAAACCAGATTAACTCCTGCTAGGTGGGAGTTTTGAAAGCCATCATAGGAAAAGCAGCTCATGTGCATCAGAGTGTTACTTTGAAGAAAGTGATTACTTTCTGTTTCCATATCACATCCCTCTTCATGGTCAAATTATTGCATAGATGCACTGTGTGTATCATGCATAATATTGATAGAATTTAGCATATACATATGCATATGTACTTAAGGTATATATGCACATATACACATATACATATTTTATATCTCATATTTAAATTCAGTACACATTTGCTATCTTAATGGCCAAAATACAATATGGGTCCTGTTTTAGGAGGGCAAGTGCCTATCATTTTGAACTGTTATATTTTCCATAATCATTCCACACTGGGTAAAAGAGGCGTTGACTACTCACTCAAACTGCCTGCCACTGGAAATCACCGAGCCCCCATTCCAAAAGTGATGCTATAGAAGTAAAAATCAACAAAGCCAACCCATAACTAACTACCCCCCACGCCCACTCCTTGGCAAAAGTCCATCTCTAGGGAGTGATTCCCTCAGGCTTCTCTTTTTTCTGATTCAGTCAAGCTGGAGGTAGATGGCCACTGTTGGACATCTGTTACTTGTGTTGCTGGACAGTTGTCAAAAGTAGAAATATTCAATTATTCATAGTTGTTTATTGTCCTGGGTGAACATTTGGCTGCTTTATCATTGCTTTTCTTTCCCATTTTTCTCCCACTTCTTCATCTGCTTACACAATATTTAGCCTATGTCCTTAACCCTTACTTGGTCAAGTCTTACTTGGTCGCTTGGGCCTTTGCTCCACTATGGGAGTTGGGTTAGGGGGAGCAGGGAAAACAGATGCCTATGATAGTCATGTGGCTCATTGGCCACTTGGACTAAGACACAGTTGAAAGTTGCTATATTTAAAAAAAAAAACAGATCTATGAAATATGGTATACCCTGAATATGATTTTAATATACTGCTTATTTGAGACATGATTAAAAATATCCATGCAGTTCTGCCAATAATAACTAGAGAATCTCATTTAAAGCTATGTCACTCCTAACATAATTGTACAGACCTATTGTAAAAATGTTGTTTTCTTTTTTTAATTGAGAAGTTGGTGACATATTTTAAAAATCTATAAAAGGGAACTATTCAAGTATATCTCTGTTATGAAACTCTGCTTCATGGCTTTGATAAGTAATTTCACCTGTTAAAAACTGGTAGCCACCTCCTGGCCATCAAATTAGATATAAAATTAAGTAAAGTACCTGCCTGGTACTCAAATTCAGCCTGACCCTACATTTCCAGGTTTTCTCACATCATGCCCAACTGAGTGTGCTGAGTCCCAC